GGTGGTGTATATTTTGGGGCCCCCTCATGGAGGCCCCCCCCCGCCACCGCCCGACCGGACAGAGCCGAGCAGGTTCGCCGGAGAGGGAGTGCCTGAAGAAGATCCCGAACGACAAGTGCAGGACGCCCGCGCGCACCGGCCGCCAGTGGACGAGCGGAGCGCGCGAACGCAACGGCGGGCCCCAGAGCCCTTCGCGCCGTCCAAGCAGAGGCGAGGCGTCCTGACTGCCCTGCAGGCCCGCCAAGGGATGTTCAGACAACCGTTTTCTGTCGTTTGCGCGGCGTGTTCTCGACCATCTCTGGCCGAGGCCATGCTATCTTAACACACCGTCTCTGCGCTCTAAGAATCGGGTTTGGGTCATTCGATTTTTGGCTCTGAGAACATCTCGCGGTAGGCCTATAGGAATGCTGGGATGGTCGGTCCCTGCTCAAGTGGTGAAAGAAAGCAGGACGGGAGGCGTCTTATTGTTCTCGGCCAAGAGCCTGTCCCGGGAAACGGGTCGAGACCTCTGGGGGGGCGACCTCGTGAAAAAATATTGACGACGGGGGTCGACGTCGTGATTTTGTCATGACGTCGACCCCCAGAGGCCTCGACCCATTCCCTGGGACCAGATTTTCATCCCGAGCCGTTTTTTGACGGCCCCGGGGCCCGACGAGGACCCCCAGGGGCCGCAAACAGCGAAAATGTGCCGCCGTGGTTTTTCCTGGCTCGAGGGGTCCTGGGGAGGGGGTTGGCTTGGGGCGGAGAGCATTCCCAGATTTGGGATGTGCTTCGGGCTGTTGATGAGAGCCCACGCGGCCCTCCAACTCCTGCTGCGCCAGGCCAGCGCGGGCGGCAGCTGGCGCCCCAGCCCGCCGCGCACGAGTCGCCAGGTCGCGACCCGAGCCCCCGCCCACGCGCCAGGGGCAGCAGCGGCGTCCCGGGCAGGCTCGTATTGAAGCCCGCGCCAGGGCGCCGCCGCGTCGATCGGGCGGGGTGGTCATGGGGGGGGACCGAGACAAAGGCCCGGGGCCCTTGAGGGCCCCTTTTCGAGCCAATTGGTGCCCCAAAGGTAGGGGAACAAGAAGTGGCATAAGCATAAAAACTCGGAGGTCCGCGCGGATTTCTCGGATCGGCGCTGGACCCCCCTCCCTGGCGCGCGGAGCGCGCCAGGGGCGGCGCCGGAGGCGCCGCCGGGGGGCCCCAGCGCCGATCCGAGAAATCCGCGCGGGCCTCCGAGTTTTTCTGTTTATGTCACTTCTTGTTCCCCTAAAAAGGGGTTCTAGAGGACGCCTTTGGGGCCTTGTTCTTCACCCCCCATGTGGTTCACCCCCCCAGTGCCACCCGCCCGCTGTCGACACGGCAAGAGCCTGCCGCGCGCCTGGCCAGCCGGGAGGCCGAGCCGCACGCCGACTGTCGGCTGGAGCGCCCGGCGGGCGCCGCGGAGCGCGCGGCGCCAGCCCGCGGGGCCGACGGCGCCAGGGGCCAGGCACCGGGCAGCGACTGGGCGTAGTGGTGGCCTTTCGCTGGGGTTGGGTCGGGCCTGTCCTCCTACAGGAGGGATCTTCAAGCCGAGTCCAGAAATAATCAGGGGCCGATGTTCCGATTATTTTTCGCGGTGATGATCGAGCATGTTTGTGGTATGTTCGATTCTTCTTCCAAGCTCCGAATGTAGGGGGACATGCCCGACCTAACGATGGAGTGGCCTTTCGCTGGGGTTAGGTCGGGCCTGTCCTCCTACAGGAGGGATCTTCAAACCGAGTCCAGAAATAGTCAGGGGACGATGTTCCGATTATTTTTCGCGGTGATGATCGGGCATGTTTGTGGTAGGTTCGATTCTTCTTCCAAGCTCCGAGTGTAGGGGGACATGCCCGACCTAACGATGGAGTGGCCTTTGGTGCGGGTGCATTTCGACGAAGAATCAACGGCAGAAACATAAGCTTTGGGCGCTCCGCGCGGATTTCTTGGATCCGCGCCGTGCCCCGGGCGGCGCCTCCGGGGCCGCTCCTGGTGCGCTCCGCGCGCCAGGGACCAGGGGGGTCCAGCGTGGAGCCGAGAAATTCGCGCGGAGCGCCAAAAGTTTCTGTTTCTGCCGTTTTTTCCTCTAGTCAAAGGGCCCACTCGTCGCTGAAGGCGACAGGAAGCACGAGGCTTAAGTCGGGCCCGTCCCACTACAGAGGGAATATTCAAAATTAGCCTGGCGCAACCATATGCAGTTGTGAATACCGCAATTGTGAATATCTTCTTCGGTGTCGCTCCCTATGGGGCCACGAATCGCTGTATTTGGTGGGCGAAACGCAGGGAGCAAGGGCCGTGTTGGGTGATGGTGGACGCCTGCGGGCGGTGCCACTGGGACCTTCCGTGGAGCCCCCTATGGGGCCACGAAGCGCTGTACTGGGTGGGTGAAACGCAGGGAGCAAGGGTTGTGCTGGGTGGTGGCGGACGCATGCGGGCGGTGCCACTGGGACCTTCGGTGGAGCCCCTATGGGGCCACGAAGCGTTGTACTGGGTGGGTGAAACGCAAGGAGCAAGGGCTGTGCTGGGTCGTGGCGGACGCATGCGGACGGTGCCACTGGGACCTTCGGTGGACCCCCCTTATGGGGCCACGAAACGTTGTACTGGGTGGGTGGAACGCAGGGAGCAAGGGCCGTGTTGGCTGGTGGCGGACGCATGCGGGCGGTGCCACTGGGACCTTCGGTGCCACGAAGCGCTGTACTGGATGGGTGAAACGCAGGGAGCAAGGGCTGTGCTGGGTGGTGGCGGACTCATGCGGGCGGTGCCACTGGGACCTTCAGTGGAGCCCCTATGGGGCAACGAAACGCTGTACTGGGTGGGTGAAACGCAGGGAGCACGGGCTGTGCTGGGTGGTGGCGGACTCATGCGGGCGGTGCCACTGGGACCTTCGGTGGAGCTCCTTGTGGGGCCACGAAACCGCTGTACTATGTGGGTAAACGCAGGGCGCAAGGGTTGTGCTGGGTGTGGTGGACGCATGCGGGCGGTGCCACTGGGACCTCCGGTGGAGCTACTGATGGGGTCACGAAGCGCTGTACTGGGGGGGTGAAACGCAAGGAGCAAGGGCCGTGTTGGGTCGTGGCGGACGCATGCGGGCGGTGCCATTGGGACTTTCGGTGAACACCCCTTATGAGGCCACGAAGCGCTGTACTGGGTGGGTGAAGCGCAAAGAGCAAGGGTTGTGCTGGGTGGTGGCGGACGCATGCGGGCGGTGCCATTGGGACTTTCGGTGGAACCCCCTATGGGGCCACGAAGCGTTGTACTGGGTGGGTGAAGCGCAAAGAGCAAGGGTTGTGCTGGGTGGTGGCGGACGCATGCGGGCGGTGCCATTGGGACTTTCGGTGGAACCCCCTATGGGGCCACGAAGCGTTGTACTGGGTGGGTGAAGCGTAAGGAGCAAGGGTTGTGCTGGGTGGTCTTGGACGCATGCGGGCGGTGCCACTGGGACCTTCGGTGGAGCCCCTATTGGGCTAGGAGGCGCTGTACTGGGTGGGTGAAACGCAAGGAGCAATGGCTGTGCTGGGTGGTGGCGGACGCATGCGGGCGGTGCCACTGGGACCTCCGGTGGAACTCCCTGTGGGGCCACGAAGCGCTATACAGGGTGGGTGAAACGCAGGGAGCAAGGGCTGTGCTAGGTGGTGGCGAAAAGCAGGGAGCAAGGGCTGTGCTGGGTGGTGGCGGACGCATGCGGGCGGTGCCATTGGGACCTTCGGTGGAGCCCCCTATTGGGCCACGGAGCGCTGTACTGGGTGGGTGAAACGCATGGAGCAAGGGCTGTGCTGGGTGGTGGCGGACGCATGCGGGCGGTGCCACTGGGACCTTCGGTGGAGAGCCCCTATTGGGCTAGGAGGCGCTGTACTGGGTGGGTGAAACGCAAGGAGCAATGGCTGTGCTGGGTGGTGGCGGACGCATGCGGGCGGTGCCACTGGGACCTCCGGTGGAGCTCCTTGTGGGGCCACGAAGCGCTATACAGGGTGGGTGAAACGCGGGGAGCAAGGGCTGTGGTGGGTGGTGGCGAAACGCAGGGAGCAAGGGCTGTGCTGGGTGGTGGCGGACGCATGCGGGCGGTGCAAGTGGGACCTTCGGTGGAGCCCCTTTATGGGGCCACAAACCGCTGTACTGGGTGGGTGAAACGCATGGAGGAAGGAGGAGGGAGGGGAGGAGGAGGAGAAGCGGAGAGGAGGAGAGGAACGCGGGGACCGTCTCTTCAAAACGAGGACCCAACACCACAGGATGGTTGGGAAATTTGGAAAAAGACATAGTCTGGGGATTATTTTTGAACATTTTCTGACCATGTGGGAGTATTTTTTGAATATTTGTTCTTCGTCGTAAATCCCCCTGTAGGGGGACACGCCCGACTTGCACGAGGCGGGAGGTTCCTGGGATATTTTCAGACGGGGGGGTCGAAGCTGCCCCACGAGGTCGGGAGTCTTGTCATTGAGAGCAAGAAGGACCTCGAACCCTAACAGCACGACGAATGCGTGGCCTCCCTGAGCGGTCCCCGTCCCCGCATTAGGGAGGATACATCTGGGCGATGTGGCGCGGTGCATCTGCAGAAAGGACCCCCTGTCCCTCATGTTCCTGGCCCTCCTGACTTAGGTCCCCTCCCCAGAGGGTTAGGGGTCCTCTTGTGTCAAGGGAGGAAAAGCCACCCGGACTGGACACTTGGCGTCTACTGAACGGCCCTGGGCGTTTTTTTGAACAGCCCTGCCCTGCTCGATTCCTTCTCTTTGGGCGCGCTTGCTCAAGACCTCGCGTGTCGGGGTGGTTCTTATCGGGGTGGATTTTCCGCCCTCTGTTTTTGCTACAGTGCCGTTTTTAATACATGCTCCGCGTGCGGATCATGTATTAAACATGCAGGGATTTAGTATTAAAAACAACGATGAGTTTATGCATACATTTATTCATGAATTAATATTGTATTTAAAATCCAATGTTTTTAAAAATCCCATGTATTGAAAACTGCCCTGTAGTCCCCTTGGCCTGCTCCTCCGGAGGAGGCCCACGAGAGGCCCCTCCCTTCTCTCGGCAGGCGGAGGTGCTCCGAAGCCTCTGGGGCCCCCGCCAGCCCCCCCGCCCCCCGCGGAGTGGATCTCGGCTGCTCTTCGGCGCCTGTCTCGAGCCGGTGGAGCCTCCCCCGTACTGGACGCCTTGCCTGCAAGCAGCCGCGTTCAGCAGAGGTCCGGAGCCAGACCCCCCCCCCCCAGGGCTCGTTTCGACTCCTCCGATTCGATTCGATTCGATTTCGATGGCTTCCGATTCCGATTCGATTCGACTTGGGATTCCGATATGGGTTCCGATTTCTCATTGGAGGCATATTCGCCTGCCGATTTCTGCCGATTCGACCTTTCCCGATTCGGCTGCCGATTCCCGCCGATCCGACTCATGTCGACTTCCGATCCGACTTGTCGATTCGATTCTGGGCTCTCCTGCCCCCCCTTCCCCCCGCCTTCCGCCCAATGTCGAAACGCCAGTTAAGAAATCGCTCACCTGTGTGGTCCGGGCACGGCGGCGGGTTACAGTCGACTGCGCTCAAGTCGGCCCTGTCCCTCTACAGGAGGAATGTTCGGAGATAGTCCCAAAATAGTCTGGGGACGATTTTGGGATTACTTTTGTGAGCATTATCTAATATGTTTCACTTGTCCTCCAAAATCCGTCTGTAGGAGGACATGCCCGACCTTGCGTCTATGTGGTCCGGGCACGGCGGGGGGTCACAGTCGACTGCGCGTAGGAGTGGCCATTCGCCGGAGCGGCCTCTTGTTGTGCGGGCCCACTGGGGTCCCCCGAGCGCCGAACGCTAATCATGCGATAGTAGCGTCTTACGCGCTCCGCTTGGGTTCGGGCTCCACGCGGCTCCCTGGACCCGCACGCCAAGGGTCACTCCTTCCTGGGGTCACTCCTGCGTGTATCCGATGCAGCCTGGCGGCAGGTCAACGCCACGGCACAGCCCGGCAGGGTCGCGATGTGGCCGTGACGATTCCCCCCCGTTGGGTGTGGTGATTCAGGGAGCCCTCCCGGAAAACCTGCAGAGGGAACATACCTTCCTCAGGGCTCTGCGTTTCGGGTGGTTTCATGGCCCCTCCCCCCGAGCCCAGAAGGCCTTCCTGAGGAAGGCTAAACCCTTCTCAGGAAGGCCTTCCAGGAAGGGTTCGCGGAGTGGCCACGGCGCTCTCGTGCCCTTCCTCCCCGCAGGCAAGGGCGGAGAGGGGCGTCCCAGAGAGGAGTGGCTCTGCTGGACGTCCCGAGATGGCTCCACCCTCGACGACTCCCCTGCAGCCCCTGGGCTTTTTCTCCGCGCCCTGCGCCCCTGCCTGCAGCCCGCCCGCCCTCGCCCCTCCGCTCCGCCCCTGGCCCCCCCCCTCCTCCTCCTCCTCCTCCTCCTCCTCCTCCTCCTCCTCCTCCCCCTCCTCCTCCTCCTCCTCCTCCTCCTCCTCCTCCTCCTCCTCCTCCTCCTCCTCGACTCAGCCTGGCGCTACAATGTCTTGCAGCGACCCCTGCGGATCCGCTAGAAGCTGGGGTGTCGGGCAGCTCCGCGGGGAGGGTCCCCTGGCTGCAGACCCCCCCCCCCCCGCTCCGCCCCTGCCCCCCCCCCCCCCCCTCCCCCTCTGCGACTGCTTGCGAGCCCTGCCCCCGCGGATCCGACAGGGGCTGGGGTATCGGACAACCCCGCGGGGGTTCACTGCTCGGCGGCAGGCCCCCCCGAGTCTTCCACCCGTGGGGAGATGGTGTGCTGATGAATGGGCGTGCGTCGGTGGCTACTCGCACTGTAAATATGTGTTACGAGAGATGGCGTGCGTCTCCTCAATTGAGTTCGAGATCTAGGCCAGCTGCGAAGCTGAGATGCACACCAATCGGTAGGGAACGCTGAGTAGCACCAGTCCAAATTATCTAGACGGTTTATCTGAAGTCTGACCCGCAGGAGTGGGGCCCGCACGTGGTCGCCCCTTTTCCTTTTCTTGCCGGAGCCGCCCTCTGTCAGGAGTGGAAACAACACACACAGACACAAGCAATCGTCGACCCCCAAGAAAATATTGGGAAATATGGGGATCGGGCGGGAAGACAAAAGCCCAGGAAATATAGGAACGTGTGGGGCATCGTTTTATTTGTGTGTATTTGTTCGTGTGTCCTTGTGCCCCTTGACTCTGGCCCCAGATGCCCGTGGGGTGACCGAGGAAGTTCATCGAGTCCTTGCCGACCACGGGTGGCAAGCCGCTGGCGGAGAGCGTCCCGAGGGCCAACAAGGATGCGCTGGACTTCATGGGCAAGACGCTGTGCTTCAGCCCCGACAGGAGCGCCCCCCTTGTCCGCCCGGCCGACCCCTCCCGGGGAGGCCTTCGCTGGTCTGTCCGCCAACAGGGGTGCGTCACATGGGGGCGGGGATGATGCTGAGGATGATGATGATGATGATGATGATGATGATGATGATGATGATGACGATGAGGAGGAGGAGGAGGATGATAAGGATGATGATGATGATGATGATGATGATGAAATGATGATGATGATGAT